TGCCTCTCATTGCCCCAGTCCCTCAATGCTTACCGCAAGGAGTAGCTGTCTTAGGTATGTGAATTTTTTTCCCAATAAGTATACTCATGATTCACAGTTGTCTGAAACCCACCCTGGTTTGTAGAATTCACCTGAAATATTTTTTAACCGGAATATCTGCCACCCCATTTTTCTAGTTTTTTTTTTTCTTCATATTCCCAAATCTCTAAAGATTCTAGAGAACATTTGCTGAATAGGTTGCATTTACCAGGTGCTGTCCCAGGTCCTGGGAATACAGACGCCTTCATCTGTTTTGTGTTGCTACCCAAGCAATTCAATTCTGTCGAATACCTAAGACTGGGTAATTTATAAGGAATAAAAAGAGGTTTATGGAGCTTACAGTTATGCAGCCTGGGAAGTACAAGATCCAGCAGCCCATCTGGTGAGGACCTGGTGCTGCTTTGACTCCCAGTGGAAAGCAGAAGGAAGGGTGAGCAGGAGCGTACAAAGACACCAAACATGAGAGGCAGCCTCACTTTATAACAACCGGCTTTCACGAGAACTAATTCATTCCCAAGAGATCTAATCCAGTCTCTCCAGAGAAGGATGCTAATCATCTTAATAACCTAATTAAAGTTTGGATAAAGGCCCCACCTCCCAACACCCATTACATTGGCAGTTAAATTCCAACATGTGTTTTGCATGGAAACTCAAGCAAAGGAAAAAAAATAAATAAATAACACATCCAACCTATAGCAACAGATGAGGACAAAATACAGTCATGTCCTGCAGTGGAGGGGAAGACAGGCAGCCTAGTGAGTAGCTCTAACTACCTGTATCATAGAACCTGCAGGATACTGTGGGAGCAAAGAGGAGGGCAGTTCCCAGATCGCTCCCCCAACACTAGGGCTCATTCTAGTTTTCATCAGTGGTAAATGCACCATCCTGGAGCTGCTAGCACTCACAGGACACCACCTCAAGCTGGAGATGTTGTACCTCTGTGTGACAGGATATTAGGTATCAACTGGATCTTGTTGTTTCCTCTTTGGGCCCACAGCGGAGAACCCAGGTCCTTAGTACCCCATACTCTGAGTTCAGAGAACAGGCAGAGAAAGGCCTGGCTGCTTCCCTTCCTGCCTTTGCCCCCTGCCCTCCCACTCTCACAAGCCTGGCTGAAAAAAGTCATTTCAGCAAAACCAGCACTCCCACCCTCAAAGACAAAATGAGAGGAGTGTAGGGAGGGAGTAAATCGTTACTCCTAGTCGGAGCTGTGTGAATGGGTGGCGGGCACTACCCAGTGGATTTCTTCTCCAAAATCAAGGAAAGAATTTGCAAGGTTTGGGGATGCTTTGTCATCCCTCCTGCACTCCTCCACACACTTTCTTCACTGACCTGGAGACTGGTCATCAGTGGTCATCTTTTGGGGATTGGAGAATGAGGTAAGGAGATGGCGCAGCGAGATGGTGAGGAGGATGATGACCAGGTCAGGACTGCCACCAAGTTGCAATTCTCAAGACCTACAGGAAGGGGATCCCCAGGGAATTTTTGAGCCCTGGAGTTGAAGAGCTTGGGAAAGCAAGTATTTTTGGAGCAATGGCATCCCTAGGAACCCATACAGCAGAAGGGGAAGGAGGTCCATACAAGGCCCACAGAGGAATACACATGGTGCCTCCTGCTGGGGGGCCCCAGCCAGAGTCTGCTCCTGGTGAGGGTGGCACCCCAGCCCTCATGAAGCTCAGTGGACAGGAACAGCAGTCATGGGCACCCAAGGGGAGGACAGCAACTATACCATGGACATCCACGTGAGGGAGCATCTGTCTTGCTTTCTTTCCTCCTCTGGGGGAGTAGAGACAAGTACAGACTGGGCCCCCTCTGCCACTTGAACTTCCCATGCCACAAGTTCCACCTGTCCTGACAGGAATGGAGAGGGTCAAAATATTAAAATTGACTGAGGAACTAAAGGCAACTGTTCCCTTGACCAAAAACCACAGGAAATTTATGGAATTGAAACCAAGGTTGCTATGGAGAACAAGAGTAGTAGCAATTATTGGAAAAACAAAACCATTTTATGTTTATACCCCCAATTAGTTAATACTCCTCACTAAACCAGGGAAAGTGTTTTATTGCCTTTGCTAAATTTAAAATCGGCTCTTAGAAGAGTTACTGATGAAAAGAACTTAGAACCGTACCTGGAACATAAGACCTCAAAAAACTATGAGTTAATATAGGAAGTAGTAGCAGTAGTGATAGTAGTACGGTATTTTCATCATATAACCAGTGTCTTAGTCAGTTCAGACTACCATAATAAAATACCATTAACTGGGCACCTAGTGAACAGTAATTTGTCACTAGTTTGGAGACTGGGAAGTCTGAGATCAAGGTGCCGGCAGATTCCATGTCTGGTGAGGACCTGTTTCCTGATTCTTACGTGGCTTCTTCTCACCATGTCCTCACATGGTGAAACAGACAAGCTAGCTCTCTTTGGGGCTTCTCTTATGAGGGATTTGTGCCAGTTACCTTGTAACAGCCTAACCTCCAAACACCATCAAGTCAGTGATGAGGTTTCAACATACAAATTTTGAAGAACACAAACATTCAGCCCATAGCAACTGGATAGAATTTTCAAAACATATATAAAGGATTTCCATAGCCTCTCTTTCATTTGATCTACAAAAGAACCCAGCAGAATAGGTAAAGAGGGTGTTATTATCCCCCCTTGAAGATGAGGGAACTGAGGCTCCTTGAGAGTATGTGAGTTTTTTCCAAAAAATCTCATACATGTGAACCTAGAATCAAAGACTTCTGACTCCTAGCCTATGGTTTTTTGTTTTGTTTTGTTTTGTTTTGTTTTTTTGCATGACCAGCTTTGTAAATCACAGGGAGAAGAAGGAGAATGAGAAGAAGGAGAATGAAAACGAAAGATTGGAGAGGGAAGGATGAAGAAAGACAGCCATTCATTTCATTGACTATGCACCATGAGCCCCGAGTTCCAGGGATTTTCAGATATATATATTTTTAGAGGCTAAGACCACATACATTTCCATGTATACATAGAAACTTGTTGTATTAGTCAGTTTGGGCTGAGTTGTGTTGCAATAATATCCCCCCAAATCTTCAGGGCTTACAACAACGGCTTCTTCTTGGCTTATGTTCATGCCCTTTGAAGATCAGCTGCAGCCCTGCTCTATGTTCTCTTTTTATTAAAAAAAAAAAATCTTTATTGAGATACAATTCACATACCATACAATTCACCCATCTGAAGTTTACAATGTAATGGCTTTTGCTATAGTCACAGATATATGTAACAATCACCGCAGTCGAATGTAGAACATTTTCATCAGCTCAAAAAGAAACCTTTTGGAGGATTTCTCCTCTTGACCTCCCCATTCCCTCCAGCCCTAATAAACCACTGTCAGCCTTTTGTCTCAATAGATTTCCTTATTCTAGACATTTCATAAGTGATATAATATGTAGTCTTTTGTGAGTGACTTCTTTCACTTAGCATAATGTTTTCAATGTTCATCTGTATTGATGGAAGCATATATCAGAACTTCACTTACTTGATGACAGAATAATATTCGGTTGTATTGACATATCACATTTGTTTATCCATTCTTCAGTTCACATCTATTTGAACTTTTCACATTTGGACATTAAGAATAATGGGGTTATAAACATTCATGTACAAGTTTCTATGGACATGCTTTCATTATATGTGTGTGTGTGTGTGTGTGTGTGTGTGTGTGTGTGTGTGTGTGTGTGTGTATAATCATTGGGTATATACCCAGGGTGCTTTGTTATCCCTCCCGCACTCCTCCACATACGTTCTCCACTGACCTGGAGACTGGTCATCAGTAGTCATCTTTTGGGGATTGGAGAATAAGGTGAGGAGATGGCACAGCGAGGTGGTGAGGAGGAAGATGACCAGTTCAGGACTGCTCCCTGCCCCCAAGTTGCAATTCTCAAGACCTACAGCAAGGGGATCCCCAGGGGATTTTGAGTCCCGGAGTTGAAGAGCTTTATTCCAGGAGTGGAACCACTGGGCTATATGGTAACTCTATGTTTAATTTTTTGTGGAACTATTAAAAGCAGTTGCACCATTTTACATCCCCACCAGCAGAATATGAGGATCTCAATTTCTTTATATTCTTGCCAATACTTGTTACTGTCTGGCTTTCTTACACTAGCCCTCCTAGTGGATGTGAAGTGGTGTTTCATGACGGTTTTGATTTGCATTTCCCTGATGACAAATGATGCCAAGCATGCTTTTATTTCGCTTTCCCAACAGAAGGACATAAGCTTGCAGTGAAGCAGAACTGGGTTGGACCTTGGTTCTGCCACTTACTCCCTGTTAAGTAACTTATATCCAATTGCTCCACACCATGAAGCCTCACTTTTCTCATCTGTAAAATGAAGATGAAAATACTTGCATCATTACATGTCGTGAGACTTCAAGAAAATAATATATGCGGAGCACCTAAGTACCTTGGCAAACAGTAGAGGCTTTGTAAACAGAGGCATTATCATTTTGTTATCCATTACAGATAAGAAAACTGAGGTTCAAAAAGGTTAAGAAACTTGTCAGAGATCGTAGAGTAATGATGTAGTTGGGTCAGGATTGTTGCCCAGGTCTGTTTGGCTCCAAACTATAGTGTTCCTGCAACTCTACTTTTGAGTCAGAATGCCGGGCACCTATTGGGGGTTACGTTTTCCTATCCTTCACACATCTACAAGCATGTTGAATAGTGAATGAATAAAAGTAATTTGAATCTATAAATAAACAATGGTATGTATTATAATCAACGGCACAGAGAAAAGAAAACACATCACTTTCTTTCGGCACTAACCTTAATTAAGTTTTAGGTGCATTTTTGTTTATTTGTTTCCAATATAAATATTATCCATTTCAAATGTTACTACTGTAAGAAAACTTTTATTAAGATATAAAATGTTTATTTTAATAAAAACATATTGTATTCCCACCCTAAATTCATCCTTTTTTAAAAACAGAACTTCAAACATTTAAATCTTTCATGTGATTTTTATTGTCTTTGTGCTTGTATTTTTTTTCAATTAGGATGTAATTTAGTTTTATGATGAAAACCACCTGGAGGCTAAGACCACATACATTTCCATGTATACATAGAAACTTGTTGTATTAGTCAGTTTGGGCTGAGTTGTGTTGCAATAATATCCCCCAAATCTTCAGGGTTTACAACAATGGCTTCTGTCTGGCTTGTGTTCATGCTCTTTGAAGATCAGCTGCAGCCCTGCTCCATGTTCTCTTTATTCTAGAATCAAGACCAAAGGAACAACCTTGAGCTGTGGCACACCAGCATTGTGGTAGAGGCCCACGAGAAATGTTAGAATCAGAGGATGGCACTTAAAGTTTTTATCTGGAAGCAGCAATTATCATTTTCACTCACATAACATGGATCAAATCCAGAAACATGGCTAATAAGCCTGATGTCAACGTAGCAGGAAGAATACCTTCTTACGGGGAGGGCCACCAGGCAGGCCCTAAAAAAAAAAGAGAAACAAAGTTTTGGATAAATAGTGCAATCTACCAGAATTCTGGGTCATGAGTCTCCACTTTCCTCTATTTGTAAGCAAAATACATCTATTCTTTCCGATAGGGATGCCAGATGAAATACAGGATGCCCAGCTAAATTTAAATTCCAGATCAACAATGGGTAATTTTTTAGGATAAGTATGCCCAAAATATTGCACAGTGAGATATACTAAAAAATTATTCATTGTTTATCTGAAATTCCATTTTAACTAGGCATCCTATATTTTAATTTACAAAATCTGGCAGCCCTACTCAAGAAAAATAACCTAAAGATTCCATTCGGTTACAGCATCAGACTTGAATTCCATGATCTCATGGAGTTCTCTACATTAGGCCCAGATGTTCATTCTCTTGAGAGCAAAACCTATGGATCAAAAAGACAAGTTATCTGCCCCTCATATGCCCAGAGTATCATGGTGAAACAGGATACCTGAAACAAACACTCCCATTCAGAAAGTAGAGGAGAGGAAGAACGCAGAAGTCACTTGTCCATGGCAATTCTGAAAGGCCCTTGGGCAGAAGTTGCAGACTACCTTCCATGGAGACTGGAAATGTTCTTTGATTAGGACTTGATTCTGGACCTAGAACAGTAATACCTGATGTATTGTTCGGCATGGTGCTTGGCACTGTCCTCCGGGAGGTCTTTCCTTTCCAATTGTTCTCCTAAAGCATTTTTTGTAAAGGACAATATGTCCTCTTTGGAAGCTGGCCAGGCTTCTCTGTCTTCTTCCCACAAAAAGTTGGAAATCCAAAGGTCATTTCAAGTCTCAGTTATAATCTGTTTTAGCATGAGCCGGTGACTCTTTTGGCAATATAACTTTCTCACATTCTTATCTATTTGATTCGAAACAGCCTCATGTGCCAATGGCCACATCCATAATTCTTTTCTAGCTGCGACTTTCCTTCTAGACTTAATTGCAGGTAACTTAAATTTATCTGGCTCCAGTGAAAGAACTACACTTAGAATCTCTCTTTCCTAAGCCATTTTGTCCAACTGGACAGATGTAATTGGTGCCACTGTAATCAGTTGAGAGGTTTTAATTGAGGAACAATACCTTTGATTGGTCCTTGCCACAAGGCTGAATTTTAGTCAGTCTTTGTCACTTAAGACATTTCCGGTTTTATCTTTTGTTGTTTGGAGATCAAAATCAATTACACCCTCTAGTCCTCTGAGTTCTCAAATTTCTGGACCCTTTCTACTCCCTTTGATCTCCCCGAAATGGACAATTCCTACCTAAGTTCAACTTTCATATCATTTCACTACGTGCAGCCCACAGCAACTTAGGCATGAGAGTAACATTCCATTTCACAACTTTGCCTAAAGCCATAAGCTCATTTAGTGCATTATCTGTCTTCCTAGGGATTAAAGGTGACAGTTTTACCCAATACCTTGCCACTAGATAACATAGGTTGCCATTTTTCCATCCCTCAACAACATTATTTTTTGCTTCCCACTCCCAAGCCTCAGAATTAATGCAACATAATTTAGGTTTCCTGCTATGGTAGTAACTCAGTGATAAGTCTTAATTGCTGTATCAATTAGCTTAGCCTAAGTCGTGATGGAGTAACAACAAACACATCCAAAATCTTACAATAAGAAAGATTTGCTCTTTGCATATGTCCATGTCCTTGGTTGGCTGTCATTTTGTAACATGTCATCTTTTTCTAGGACTTAGACTGAAGGAGCAGACATTATCTGCGACTTGTTGGCTTGGGGCAAAGTAAAAAGTAAAAAAAAAAAAAAAAGGCACATATCCCTCTACTTGGAAATGGCATATGTTCTGGCTACATTCCATTGACCAAAGCAAGTCACGTGGTCAGGATGAACTTCTTTTATTTCTTTTTGCCTTCTATGCAGTTTATTTATTTTTTAATTTTCTCATAGGTTATTGGGGTACAGGTGGTGCTTGGTTACATGAGCAAGTTCTTTAGTGGTGATTTGTGAGATTTTGGTGCACCCATCACACAAGCAGTATACACTGCACCCCATTTGTAGTCTTTTATCCCTCGAAGATGGACTTCTGATGGGTGAAAAATATACTAGTCTCACAGGGAAGAGCAGTGGGGAGTAGACCCACAGTGAAGGACAGCAGATACTTGGACAGCAGATACTTTTGAGCAAATAATAGAATCTACCCAGTAATGTGCTGCTAAATATTTAACAACTACCTCTCTGGAGGAACAGAAGCCCTGATTTGTATATTTGTCAATTTTCCATGGTATAAATACTCTCATCGTGGCCAATTTCAAGTCACCAGTGTCATGTCACCAAATGTGAAATTAGGAAGAGATGTACAATTAGCTCTTGTGAGCCACTATGAGCATGCCACAGCGCACCACTGAATCAACCTCAGTTTAAATCAACTATTTGCTAAATATAAGTTGACTTATGCCTGTTCCACAATATGAAGAACTCCTGCAGTCTTGCTGTGGATTATAACAAGGGAGGAGTCTATTATGTGACTCAGCATAAACCTCCCTTAAACCTAAGCTGAGGATTTGCAGTAGGGCTGAGGAGGACTAGACAACTCAAAATTAAGTCTTCATATTATTTGCTATTTCAGCATTAATTGGAAAATTCAAGTGGAGAGTAAGAATGTGAGATTGAAATAAAAATAGTATTTTGCCTCTATAAATAAGATTCAGCCCCAGGCTCCTCTTTTGCAGAAATTCTTATTAAGGACTTGGCTCTCCTCCAAGAAAAATAAGGTAGAAATCATTCAAAACCCTTTACTTCCAAATTATTCCTGATAGGAGCTGCTTGATGAGTATAGCTCTCTAGTTTTGTATGTTTACAATTTTCCAATAAAAGGCTTGTTTAAAATATCCCTGAGCTAGGAAGTAGCTCTTACATACTTAAGTCTTAAGCCATTTTTTTTCAAAGACTTTTTTTTTTTTTCTTTTGAGACTGAATCTCTCTGTAGCACAAGCTGGAGGGCAGTGGTGCAAACACAGCTCACCGCAGCCTCCACCTCCCAGGCTCAAGTGATCGTCCTGCCTCAGCCTCCCACGTAGTGGGAACTACAGGCTCCCACCACCATGCCCACTCATTTTTGTATTTTTTTGTAGAGACAGGGTTTTGCATTGCCCAGGCTGGTCTCAAATTCCTGAGCTTAAGCAATCCTCCTGCCTCAGCCTCCCAAAGTGCTGGGATTACAGGCGTGAGCTACCATGCCTAGTCCATGTATTCTTTAAGTACACTGACAACATCCCTGTGGTAACACTGGGCAAGTTGCTTATGTGCTCTGAATTTCTGTTTCTCCAGCGATAGGACAGGATAATAACATCTACCTTACAAAGCGATTATGAAGCTTAAATATCTGGCATACATAAAGTATCTAGCAAAGCACTTGCACATGGTGGTCACTCAATAAATAGTCACCAGCATTCACTAATGAGGATACTGATTAGAATTATCACGATTTTATTACTGAGCCATGAAACTAGAGGTTTTAAGTTACTATTTAAAATAGTCCAAGACTTTATTCAATAGCCTCAGAGCATTTGGCAGGAATAATTTGGCTTTCGATTTTGAGTGCATCTGACAGGAATGACTTTTGCAGCTCCCCTGGATGCATGGATGTTATTGTAATTTAACAAAACTCACCTCTCTAGTTGCTACTGCATTTTGTCTGTGGGCCTCGAGCTTGGTTCAAATTGTCAGGCCAATGGAAAGACCGAATGCTTTGCCTCCAGGCAAAACTGTGGCCTGCAGGGGGTGGACCCTGCATCGCATCCTCAGCCAGAATGGAAAGCTCACTCAGCATGCTGCAGTCTTTCATACGGATTCTGACATAAAACATCAGGCGGAAATTCCACTTCTGACTCTGCAGTAATTGTGGAGGAGCCAGAGGACCATCCAAACACAGATGTCTGGCATGACGCTGCACCCCTCATGAAGTTACAGGACAGACATAGCAGAGAGATAGTGATGATCATGCATAAAGGAGAGGCCCACCATCTTCAGGGGACAACTCGTTCATTCTTCCTCCTTCATTGTTCCTGAGTTACTGAGAATAGTCAAGATTACTGTTTCAGACTTTTTCCAATGTCTTGACTTATAATGCAGAGAAAGATGTTGATGCTGGTAATGATAATGTAAAAATGGTGGAAGTTTTTCCAGAGTTTCAAGTGATGGAACTCTGCATCCTACTATTTTGTAGCATGTGTGAGTAGGTGTGTAGGGGTGTGTGTGTGTGTGTGTGTGTGAGATTCTACATATGTATGTGTATACTGATTCCTCCGGAGTAGCCCCCACTTTTTTTTTTTTTTTTTTACTAAGTATATCAGCTTCTGGAACTGCACATAACAGTTTTCCAGCAGTGACATTCAGGCATAGGACAGCCATCAAAGACCTGGAAGCCATGTAATAGAGCTGACCTTTGAATTAGGGGAACAACCCTTGCGTGTGCAGTCAAAACTCCAAGCATAACTTTTGACTTCCCAAAAACATAACCATTAATAGTCTACTGTTAACCAGAAGCCCTACTGATAACATAGTCAATTAACACCTATTTTGTTTGTTATATGTATTGTATACTGTGTTCTTATAATAAAGTAAGCTAGAGAAAATAACGTTATTGAAAAAATCATAAGAGAAAATATATTTCCTCTTCATTAAGTAGAAGTGGATCATCATAAAGCTCTCCAACCTCATCGTCTTCATGTTGAGTAGGATGAGGAGGGGGAGAAAGAGGAGAGGTTGAAAAAAAAAAAAAAAAGAGGAGAGGTTGGTCGTACTGTGTCAGCGATGGCAGAGACAGAAGAAAATCCAAGCATAGCAGCCCAACGAAGTTCAAACCGGGTTGTTCAAGGGTCAACTGTAAAGACTACTAGAGGCAGAGGCTCACTTAATTGCGTGTTCAGAAATTAAGAGTTTAACGTTATTAGAATATGCAAAGGCATACAGAGTGATATAATGGACTTTATATCACTTTAAATCATTTATCTATAATGGACTCAGAAGCAGGAGGGTGGGAGGGGGGAGCCAGGGATAAAAAAAAAAAACAACTACACATTAGGTACAATGTACACTACTTGGGTGATGGGTGCACTAAAATCTCAGAATTCACCACTATATAATTCATCCATGTAGCCAAAAACCACTTGT